TATTTCTAAGGGGAAAGGGTTTCCCCACAGAGCATGCAGGTGCTTTTCAGCCTGGCTAGTTTTCCTTCACAGTATGAACATCTTTAGTTTGGTTCTTGGCATGACCGTAGCTGTTTGCCGTAGAGCTCTATAGGAGGTGTAACCTCTTCACAGGAATAATACAGGAATCAGTATCAGTTCACATTTATTCCAGTGAATAAATGTGGCAAAACTGACACCTTCATGGTCAAGCTGATGAAATGAAGGGGTTTGCTCATTTATAGTCCAAGATGTGATGAAATGGTAACAGCTGCAGCTAGAGTGATTCTCTGCAGCATCCCATCTCTCTGAAGGATTCCCAATGTTGCATTCAGATTATTTACCCTTCCCAGCTTTGGTTTTGTTGGTCACATGTAGGCTGTGGGATAATAAACTCTGTGGAGCTCTTTTTCAAGGAGTACACCAAAATTTGAGCTCTCTTCTGGTTTGCACACCTGGATTTGTTCACCGTGATGGAAGAAGCACTGGCATGTGCTCAGAATTGTTTGTATATGAACCCTTCATATGGGAGAGTACACACTGAAGAAACTCTTTTGTATGTTTTTGAGTGTCTACCTCCTGGTAATGTGAAGCTTCTAGTTACTAAGTTTCTTTCACAACAAACCTTTTGGTTTTGTCTATGTGTAATGGGTTAGTGTTTGAGAATCTAGTTTGATTCTTTGAGTGGGATTTCTCATGTATGGCACAGCGCAAATGTTTAAGCATTAAAAAACATTTCCTTCCAAGTGTAGCTGATCATTTATTAACACAGCAATGACATGTCTGAAGCTGGTTCTTAAGCTGGTATTGAAACACTGCTGGTATTTAGGTAGCTTTCCTGTTTTTTATTGTGAAGTATCTCTTGATGCTTTTCTTGATATACAGATACAACAGAACTGTGTGTAAATATAGAGACATTGGTTATGTCTGCAGCTTTGTATATTTGCTATACATGGTAAACATGAGATGTGCATATTTTTTCCTTTACTTCAGAAAATTTTCATGACAGCAAGTAATGTGATTGCAATTCAAGTTATTTCCTTCACTCTAGCTCTAAAATTTCAACTGTTGCTACTCATTACATTTTTTTCTTCCTGTCAACAAGAATCTTCCTGCTGTAGCCCTGAGGACTTGCTACCTTTCATGAGCATGATGTATTACCTGATACCAGTCTCCTACTCAGTTGACACAGGACAAGTTTTTGATACACGACTGTAGAAATATACACCACTTTGTGCAGTAGAGTACAGCTGATGTGGTCTCTCCAACAGCTTGTACTGAGGTGCTACGGCACAGAGAAAAGCACTTGAGGTTACCCATAAAAGTTCAGAGCTGTCAGGTTTGCGCTTCTTATTTAATTTATAGGGAGGGATCAAATGTAAATATGTAGCAGTAGAAACTGATGCTTTGAATTCCAAATACAACCTAGGAGGCTTTCCCCTTTACAGAGAATAGCTTTTCTCATCTGTAAGGAGCTTTTTATGCCCCCCCAACAGCGAACAAAATGTAACGTTCAGTGCTGTACCAAATCCACTCCTAGCTTCTGAACTTTTGCAAACTTAAATAATCAAACTTAACTTTTCTTAAATGGAATATATTTTGCATATTTCAACATAATATGGAAAAATGTTCATTTGTTTCTGTCAAAGTTGCATAATTGAAACACTTTATTAAACCACAAATATGTTTTATTTTAACTTTTCCTCTAGGTAATATCAGATTTTAACAGGGTAACACATACAACTTTTTCCTCTTGTAATAATTATCCTGTTTTAAAACATAGGCAAGTTGTAAATACATTTAGATATTACCTTTCTGTAAATTTCCATAGAAACAGATGTGCTTCTCTTCTAATCTATGACACAACTAAGATTATACAATGACTTTTAGAAAGTTGTAATTGAAGTAGTTCCTGCAGAAGGGTAATTCAGTAAATGTATTATTGACACATTGCTGCTACTGTCAAACACTTGAGGTGAACTTAAGTCAGGCTTATGGTGAAGGAGCCACTGTGGCTTATCATCTTACACGTATTTTCTTTGCAAATGTGAATTTAGATGTTTTTATTCTGTATTAAGCAGCAGAAATTGTTTGTGATATGACCTGGTTTCATGGAAGTGGAACATTTCTGCCAAATCCCTGTTGCAGACTGACATGAACACTCAGCGTTGCCTTCCTGAAAGACTGCCACGCAGCTGTTTGGGCCAAGTCACCGCAACATAACATACCCTTGGAAATGGAACAGTCTAAAAGTAGCTACACTCTTTGGCCACACAAAGGAATGGTTTTGTGCAGAATTACAGAGCTTGTAATATTCTAGAGGTCAAGTGTTTTTCCTGACTGCACATCCCACAGTTCTTGTCCATCTGTGAAACACCAAATTAGACTGAATAATTACATTTTCCTTACTATTTTACTTCAGATCATATTTAATACACTAGTGCTTCTGCTGTAGCTGGGAATTGACTAAGGCTGCAAAGGTATTTGTTTTCTCTCCTAGCAGTTGTCACAAATATTTGCCTCCATTAAGGTTATACTCAGAAGGACTGTGGTTGGTGGTTTACATCAATAGTACCACTCAAAATAAACAATAAAAACCAACCCAAACCAAAAGTCAAAAACATTGGAGGAAATGTGGGAGTTAAGCTGCTCTGCATATACTTCCACGCTGTTACTTACTTACCTCCTTAATTCTAATTATGTTAGTGTCTTCAGCTCTTGCTTTTGAGTTGTGTGGGTTTTTTTTTAATTAGCAGAGTCCTTAGGAAAGGCCCTCTCCTTTTCGCCACAAGGGGTGTGTAAAGCAGCCCTTGTTTCCAGCAAGTGCAGAGTCCTGGGGCACTGTTCTTCCATGGTGGTAACCCCAAGGGGCATTTGTTGCACTCACCCAGCTGCCTGTAGCTACAGTCAGTCTTTTTTCTAGGCCATTTCTTGTCGTTCTTTGAGAGTGAAAGATCCCAAGACCACTTTAGTATGGATCTGTGCACACAGGGACAGTGCATGCAGTGTATTTATTTGTGCTTAATGCAAATGATGCTGCTGCTATGCATTAATTAGCTGATGAGTATGAGGCCTTTTAAAGACACTCCATTAAGGCTGCACAGGAAATTCTAAAGGCAGTTTGAGCTGACTTTTTTTTCTCAACTGTAGCCTATGTTTGGAAGTTCAGCTTTCAGACTTAAATCTTTTATGCTTTTAGGATACAGACACTGACACTGATTCCATCTGTTGTGGTTAATAACAGGATTACAAACAGCACATTCTTGCTATAAGGCAGGAAACTTTACATGCAGTATTTTCAGTGCGGTTACAGTAGGTGGCACAGAAAGACATACAACACACTTTTCTCTGCAGCAGGAGACACTGCACATTTGTAAACTAGCAGACATTACAATATATAGTTTTCAGAGTTGAAGAGAAAATCTGAGTTACAACATTTGGAAAATATAATTGATACATCTGCCTCCCCTAAATAGTAGAGGTTATAAATTGGTGGTTTCCCACTTTTGCTATTGGAATGGCATATGTTGCAGGAAAAAGCTGGAGAGAACAATCCTTTTAATTCACCTGTGACATTGTAACATATTCACACCGGGGCACCCTGAGGGAGGAAGAAAGAGGTCTGCATAGTGAAGCATCTGTAGTAGTCTCAAGCAGCCATCCAGCAGATCAGGATGTCCTCTGAGTCTCTGCTACACTCTTACAAGTTCAGGAGAATCCTCTGGCTTAGGGGTGGATCCATCAGTGACTGCATGTATTTTCCCTGTCTTGGTTTACCTTCACCTTCCCTGAAGCAGGTGAACTGTATGGCCACAGCAATAACGGCACCATCGATACCCATTTGGAAAGCTGTCTAAATGAGGACTGAACAGGCTGAGGACAGAATACTGCAAGTTGTTTATTACATACTCTGCTAGTTAGAACAAAACCTGAAAGTTTGTTGAGTACAAATAACTTCCAAATTCACTCACTGAAGAGCTGACTTTCCAGTTATAAAATGAATCAGACGGTTCTTGGATAGTTGAAAACCAAGCTGACATAGCTGTGTCTGTATGAAATGGAGCTCTGCTTGTTATTTAGAGGTGTCAGATGAAATCTGAACCAAGCCTTGTGAAGAAGAGTCATCTGTGGTTTTGTTTTCCGAGCCCTGGGTACAGCTTTCCTCAGTGGGCATTTCCTTTAGTAGTCCATGCAGTGTTGCCATGTTAACTAAGAGGGAAACCATATGGTTAAACTAGTTTCTTGCCTCAAACCAAATCTTGATTCTCCAATCACTGGAAATTCTGATTTGCAGCTATGTAAGTCCTGAGCTTCCAAACCCTTCAATAGAGGTAAAAACCTAAATCAGAACTTGGTTCTCATTTGGCTGTGTTTACCAGCAAATATATATTTAAAAGACTGTAGCGCGTGATACAGATGAGGAATCATACTATGTTCCAGCTTCCCTGGAAGCCCTGCTTCTTCTGTGAGTAAGAGCAGCAGCACACATTGTTTTTTCATCTGGTTGACAGACATGGGGGCTGCTGCTGTGCACTGAAGAATGTAAACACTTTGCTGAGATGTAGCAAAAATCCCTAACAACTTTGTAGAAACATGGAAAAAATCCATCAAAATTTAAAACTTGCTGTGGAATGGAGAAAACATGGTCTAAACCCAGTATTTATTTCATGTTTCATCCTTTTCCCCAGCCTCCTTTGGCATATTGCACATTGCACATTTTACATGTGTTGCAGATCAAAATAGAAAGGTTGGTGTGGTGATCAGGAGGGAGGCAACATGCTAGCAGCAGTGGGACCCCAGGAAGCCCCAGTGTGTGTCGCCAGTGGGTTTTCAGGTGTGTGTGTTTTCAAAATGGAGCCAAGATGGAAAGACTGGGGGAAAAAAAGGCCAATACCATGTACAGAGGTTGCACGGCCACAGTAGAAGTGGAGTTGTACGAGCTTTTCCATTAATCACCCTTTTATTTCTTCCTTCCCTCCCAGGTGCAAGTGGGAAGTACACCTCAGGACCAAAGAATTGTGGGATACATTTCCTGCACTCACTTGCAAGCTATTGCAGGTACTGTACTAAATTGCATGTCCTACTAGGCCTGTGGTGGTGTTCTTGTGCAAGGGTAACAAGCATTGCTCCTTCAGTATTTCTGACATGGTGCAGTCTGCACTGCAAATAGCAGTGAAATAGTCAAGCAGGGTAAAAAGTGTATCCCCAAACCTTTCCCTTTTCCCTCTTGGGGTAGTTAAGTATTATAGGAGACAAACAAAAAATATGCCTTGAGAGGTTTCCTTCTTCCCTCTTAACCAAATGCTGTTATTCTAGCATATACATTGCTATCATTACTCAAGGGCATTTAACAGCCCATACTGTGAGTATCAATATACAAACGTTTGTTTGTATATAATCAGGGGATTATTGGAAGGTATAACGGAAGGTATACGGGACAGCAGAAATCAGCAGCTGGCATAAACCCAGATTCTCTGGGTCTTGACCTGTAAATTTCATATATGAATGGCAAGCAGGCTAATACACTCACTGGAAAATTTTCCTGTAAGCAATCCCATTATAACATTTACTACAGCACTCCACAGCTTGCTGTGTGTCCTTTGTTTCATGAAACAGTATTCTAAGGTCATTAAATAAGGTTGTGGTGGAGCCTGTTTCTCATCAACCATCTTTTATGACCTTTTTTTTATGATAGTATCTCAACATTCAGCTCTCATTTAATCTAAATATTCAGAGCAGGGCTGAGGTAGATGAGTGGCCTCATCTCCATTTTACAATCCAAATCCAGAAAGCAAGGGAAAGAAAAATTAATAAAGTCTATAGATAGTAGGGTCATTTTATTCCATTTTTAGTGTTCTGATGCATATGTTTTGAAATTGAGACACTTCTCCATTTGAGCTGTTCATCCCAACACTCATCAATTAAAACTGACAAATATTTGAACAATTTGGAGATGCCTGTGGAAAATTTTCCACGTGTCTCTCCTATCTTTTGTATCAAAACTATCAGTTCTATACTTAGTAGGTGTAGGAGTAAAATAAAAGCTTTATCTCCAAACCTTTACTTTGTGTAAGATTAGATTAGAATGTAATTTAACTAGAGGGGTGATGGATATCCTGACGTTTTCCTTGATTCAACTGCTATTCTTGTGCTCCTGAATGCTGGAGAGCACAACACAGCCCTCTTGGACTACCTAGACAGCAAGTATGCTATGGGCTGAGGCCAGTTAGCAATCTGTTACACGTGGCAGAAGGTTGAGCCGATGTGCCAGAGCATGTTGAGGTTAACCTGGTCAAGCAGCCGGCTCCTTTCCACTTCATCACTTCATTCATTTCTCTGCAGCTTCAGCTGCAGACAGACAGACTTGGGAACAAACTCAGCAGTCCCTGAAGTACATTAGAGAGACTGGGTAGTGGTAAAGAAGAGCCATTAATTTTTTAGCTACATTTTAACAATGTAACATCCTTCTCTGGTTTTCTATTTTAAACTCTGGAATTATGGTAATGTACCATGGGATTGCTGTTGTGGAGCAGAGATTTGTTGCTGTCTCGTTTAGATCATAAACTTCCATTTTCAGTCCTGTTCCTTTTTATTACCTAGTCATGTATTCTCAGTTAGCCTCTGATAACTGCATTGCGAAGTCCCTATAATACTGAAAAGGAAGATGGGGGGAAATGGGGAAGTAGTGTTCTATTTTCAAGGTCAGCCTAAAGCTTTTTCAAGGGTAAAATGCAAACTTCCATTTTCCTTCTTACATTATTGCTTCATATTTTTAGGCTTTCCAGGTTCAAACTACGTTCAAACAGAGCACTCAGTGAGCTAAGAGTATGACTGTCCTTTAATATATCATACTAGTTTATCTAATGAAATGGAAAACTAAAGTTCATGTGTTTGGCAGAGCTGTGCCTTCTGATTTGTATAATCTGATTCATAACATTTCACGAATTTAAAAAATTATCTAAAAACCAGTTCAGCGATGTAGAGATGTGATATCTGTAAAAACAAGCACTGTTTAAAAGGTCAGCCGTTTAAATCATCCAGTCACACATGGTGAGTGCAGTTTGGCTTCCCTTTAGGATACATAAACTTACACTTGACAGTTCTGATATATGTGTGAGTATAAGCTGAAGGGATAAAATTCTTATGGTCAAGGATGAACTACTACTGCTTTTCTCAAGAGATGTGCAGCTCAACTCTGTTCTGAACAATTACTGTGTTTTCAGGCCTAACATTCACCTTTTTCAATAAAACTTCAGAATGAGATGTAGCTTGTCCTCTCAATTCTCTACCCATTACTGAATGCTGCGATGAAGCAGCTCTTCATTTCCACTGTGGAAATAGCTGCATTTCAGTGACAAATGAAGAGATCCTTTAATGAGGCTTAAATGTAATTATTTTCCAAGGGGCTGTTAAGTTTACATGGCTCTTTTGTGTCTTTCAGTTAGTCAGTGACTAATGTTTTGGACAGGTTTTGCTGCCCAGAATCCACCCGCCTCCCTTATAAGTCATGCCTTTCAGACGCCTCACCAAGCCATCGAAAGAGAGCAAGCCTCCAGCTATTCCAGCCCACCTCAGATGATGTAGTGTGCTGGATACTATCTTGTAACCTCATTCATGTCCCTGTTTTGTGGTTAGTGTGAATCTAGTTAGCACCACAGGTACTGGCAACTCTGCTTCTCTAGCACCAGTTTTGGGTTCCACAAGCTTACACACAGCTTAAGCAGAACTCAGATCAGGACTGAGAAAGACCCCTCAGCGTCTGAAATTCTGACTGTGCCACCAGGAGCAGCCTTGGTGCTAAGCAGTGATTCCAGATATGTTTCTAAAATAGCAAAGATGGTATACCTAACCCCTGGAAGCCTGCCCTTACCTCCTTCTCTCAGCTGGGCTAACCATGGCTGTTGTAGGTTGTGTTGCACTTGCAGGAGACCTGACCTAGCTCAAAACTAACCCAGCAGAGTAAGGGGAGTGGGGTTGGGGGGTGGTTGCTGCTTTGTCTTTTTAGGTAGTTTGTTTTTGTTTTCCCAGGCTGTCCTGGATTAAGACTGTTGCAAGGGTAGGGGTCTGCTTAACCTGTCACACAGCCAGGTGTGCCACAGCCTGTCTCATGGCTAAATTGAAGCCTTTGGGTTTGGCTTGGAAACAATTTTTCTTTTGACTAGGCTTTACAGCCTACACTTTACAAGCTCTTTTTGCTCCTCTTCCCCAGCTCCCTGATAGCATATCCCATAGCACTTATCAGTGCTGAGAACTCTGGTTTTAAAAACCTTCACTGGGTGTTTTGATTTCCTCTGCCTAGGCTTGTCAGCTGCTTTGTTCAGCCGCCGCAGTGCTCCTGCTAACATCTTTCAAGAGTAGGACAAAAACAGTCATCTTCAGTGTAATACAGTACCTACCTTCAGTTCTGACTAAAGCCAGGTTTTCACTTAAGCATTTCCAAAGTGAATGGAAAGGGCAAGTACGATTATGCTATAATGAACAAAAGTGAAGTCTTTATTTATGCTGGCTGAGGTTTCCCACACTATGCTTTCATCTTGCCACAATATCTGAAGCTGGAGGGAACTTGCAAAGAGTTTGGAAGTGCTGACTGTAGGAGCCAGTCATAACACAATTATTTGCATTTTTCCAGGCCAGTTACTGAGGACAAGAGTGTAAAGCAATTAGTCCAAATCAGTAGTCTCTGGTTAATCACTGGTGGCAGTCAGTCAGATCAGTGATTCTATCTGAACACTTAATTAGAGCTGAAGGCTGGAGGAAGAAGTTGAATGTTAGTGTTGGGAGTTACTACCAAAGTCTCTTCTGTTAATACCTACTGATGCTATTTCATGTCAGCAACAATTTCTGAAATGTCTGTCTCTCTGGAAGGTCTGGCTTCAGGTTTGGCTTCTCTATTCAGATGTCCAATTAGATATGTTACCTTCATTTCCAAAGATCTTGATTATGGGCACTGTTCTGAGTCTCACTAGTACCTTCTGCCTACAGATACATGCAGTATGTGCTATGCCACTCAGTAATCCGGATAGTGACAGCTTAATATTATCTCAGAAAACAGTTATGTTTGAATCGCAGTAAAGGATCCCATCTTGTGCCATGGAAATGTAACTCACTTCATTGTACCTGCTCCATGTAGTGTACTGGAGTGCAATTACTTCTATGACCTCTAGTGGGGATAGTCAGAGCTGCCAGTCTATCACAAATTCTACAGTTCTAAAGAGAAATGGAAATCATCTGCCTCTAGAGTTCCAAGGCTACTATTTTCCTGTACAACCCTGAGACTCTCTGGTGTGCAGTGCTGCTGCAAAGGCGCAGGATTTTTACCATGCAAGATGTATGTCACCATGTAGGCAATGGCTTTTTAATAACAGCAATGCACATTACCAAACACCTTTTGCAATATTCTCCGAAATGGTTTTGCCTTTTGTTTTTCTCAAGAGTTTTCTGTTTTGGAGAACTCCACCTTTGTGTGTTTCAGTTGAGTGGATTTGCTACATTCTTCACTGTGCTGATCTGTGACAGGTTGCTGCCTGAGGTTTATGCCCATGTGGCAATGGGTGTATTATTTTATCTCTCATCCTAGTGAAGCCATGCTAGATGGGTAACACAGAAAATGCAAAGAAACTTGGGCAGTTCAGGGATGTAAAAGCTTGGTTTAGATGATTGATCAGTTTATATAATGGGGACTTTGTAGGGAGGAAGATGTTACTGCATTCTTGTTAACAAGCACCATGCTTAAAAATTGCGTGATGAGAAAACAAAGGTGGACCAGAAAGAAGTACTGGCCTAAGGAGATGAGACAGGATAGAAAGATTCAGATGCTGCAAAGGAGGACAGTCCATGAAGTTAAGTAAGCTTCACCAGAAATGAGCAAACTGGAACTGTTCAGGTTCAGGAGGAGAAGGATCTTACAGAAGTGTGTCAGTACCTGACAGGAAGGTGAATGGAAGATGGAGGCAGACTCTCCTCAGTGGGGCGCAGAGACAGGATGAGAAGCAGTGAGCAGAAACTGAATTGCCAGAAATGTAATTTTAAAAAAGGATAACGCTTTTTATTGTAAAGTTGACAAAGCACTAGAAAAGGTGACCAGAGGTAATGGAGTTTTCAACCACAGAGGTCCTCAAAGCCTGACTGGCCACAGTCCTGCTGTAGTTGGCCCTGCCTTAGCTAGTGCATGAATCTGTAATTCTGTCTGTATCTTTGGATAGCAGCATGTATGTCAGTCATGCACAACTTTTGTGGTTCATGTCACCTGCTCCAGGCTGTATTTATTCCACGTGACCTATTTTTTGCGCTTTTGTCTACCTACATCTTCACGGTAAGCCTTTCTTGTGCTGGGTAGGAAGGGGGTTTCCCAAGAATACACTGGTCTGGATTTGTGTCAAGCTGTGTGGTTAGGGTATGTGTGAACGTGAGGTACAGGTAACCAGAAACTGTGTTAAGGAACAGATCCACTTGTACCTCCCTTTATATTACAGCTCAACCTGTAAAGATTTGTTGGGAATAATAAAAGTGGAAAAAAAAAAAAAAAAAGATAATTTACTGTTGGAATTACCAGTCTCAAAAGATGAGTCACTGTCAGGACCTATTTAAAGCACTCACTTTCCCTGGTCATGTCCTTTTTCCATATTTCTTTTAACTGTTTAGGATTGTATCAAGTCATGCCTGGTTGAACATTACTGATTCAAATCAGTTGAACAATACTGATTTGTATTTACTGTTGTTTTAACACCACTCCCAGCTCCCCTTCCCCTGATGTTCTTGACAATCCAACCCTTCACACATTTGTAGTGGTAGGAAAGCGAAGTCTTAATGCTTAAAGTTTGTCCGGGTGCTAATGCAATTACAGTGTGCTGAGTTCATGTTTGAAAAGTCTCTTTATAAAGTGCTGGTGACAGCTGCAGTTGAGACAAGTGATTAACAAGCTGTGAGGATGCAGACTTGAATAGTCACTGTCTCCAGAGTGGTCACTGAAAGCAGCTTTGGATGTACATAATGGATGTTTCTAATTAAGTTTTACAGCTTTTTAATAGCTAGCACAAAGTAGTAAATTAGGTTAAAATAAAATTGTAGTCAGGTCATTTTGGCTTTGCTACTTTTCCTTCTGATTGTGGTGTTTGAAAACACATCTTTTATTCTGAAGAAAAGTAATGTTGTTCTGACTTGACATAGCATTTCAAGTTTGAAACAAGGAAAATTACAACTGCTAACTATATTTACAGCGAGAAGGAAAAGGAAGACAACATGGTAAAGAACTATTTCTACAATGTGTCCTGCTCACATCATCATACATCAGACTTTTGTTGTACTCATTTTAAAAGAGCCAGTGACTTCATGCCACCTCATGTGCTTAGAATTAAGTATTGTTAGTTGCTACAATTAAAGATAGTTTTGCAAGTAAAAATATTTAACAACCAGTCAATCTGAACCCTTTCCTACCACTGTCATAAAACAGAGGCACATCCTCCACACGTGGAGCCTTGTGTAACTTCCCAGCAACTGGTGAAAGGATCTGGTTCTTCATTGCTTAAGTCCTGCCTACCTAAACCTGTATCTACATATACCTTTAAAAATAGGAAAAAATACTTCAAGTTAAAGCATTCTTACTTGAACACAAATCACAGAATCACAGAATGGTTTAGGTTGGAAAGGACCTTAAGATCATCTAGTTCCAACCCCCCTGCAAATAGATCTCTTCTTCGTCATATAGACTATTACTTAATGTGATTAACTTGAATTCACCATACATGTGTATTTCCTAGTAATACTTGAAGTTAAATTTTTCATTTTAAAAATCAGAAAGCAAAGAAAGATCAAGTGATTTACCCCAGAACATGCCATCCAGTTTGGTCTGAAGTAGGACTGTAACTGTGAATTCCTGATTGTAACTGCTGTGCAGATCATCCTCTTCCTCTGGCTAGAAGCATCATCATTTTGTCTAGTTGTCTGCAGCATAGATGTAGATGCCTTGTCTTCTTACTTCTTCAGCCATGCCTGGTATGATTGACTTCAAGAGGAGGTATTTAAATCATCAAAAAGTGTGGTTCCTAATGAACTCCATAATGGGCTACATACCACATGCTGAACATACTATTAGCCACACCATTTTTTATCTTGCACCTTTTTTCTCAGGATGTCTAGCAATAGCTTATCAACTAACCTTGGGCTGAGAAACCTGCTAAAAGGAGGTCTTGTCTCATGTTTTGGTTATCTGGATGTTTATTTGTTTGCTACAGGAGATACTACTGTTCGATGTGAGCAACTGGATATGCTTCAAGATTGGCTGTCTGAATTCCGAAAATCTACCTCCTCCTCCAGTACAGCCAATCCAGAGGAGCTGGTGGCTTTTGATGTCATTTGTGGAGATCTTAACTTTGATAACTGCTCCTCTGGTAAGACCAAGTTTTATTTTCTTGGTATCTACCTATTCCAGAAAGAAACAGGAGAGTTCTTGATTCCTGTAGGCTATAGCAGTATCTGAACCCGTGACTGGCTTTTGCAAGGGAACAATTGTTACAGATACTTCTAAAATAGGTACTAGCCTTGAAACAAGCCAAGGAGGGTAGCTGACACATACCAGCTCTGCTGGATTAGTAAGCATGATGCTTTCTAAGGCACAATGGGCAATAATTTGTGACTTCCAGTAACAATAATGAGGACAGATCCAGTGGTTTAGTTTTACTTGAATTAAGAAGACATCTATTGTACTGGAATTTTTGTTACTAATGAAAGACATGGATATTACAGGATTTTTGTGGAGAAAAAAAGAAGTAAATTCATGGAGTTAAAAGTAATTGGTGCAAATAGACAGGAGGTTAATGCTGCAGAGAAGTAAACACTGCTGAATCAGTCTTGGAAAAAATTAATTGATGCTGTGTACTTCTGGGGTTTTCTAATAATTTTTTTCTTCTATATTTGGATACTGAAGGTACTAGAAAAAGAACTCCACAAAATTAATGGGTGGTGAGTTCACAGAGATGGTAGCCTTTTTTCAAACATAAATATTAGACTTTGCTAAGGGTTAAACTGCTAACATAGAGTGCAGGACATTGTGTTTGTGTATCCTCTCTGCCTTCCTGCTCAGTGCAGCTCAGGCAGCCACCAGAGCTCCTTGCTGACCTTATACAATGCCTTGGAGCTGTTGGACACTTGTAAGAGAAGATTTTAGCAAAGCTGGAGAAACATTTAATAGGGTAGAAGAGATCATCAACCCAAAGCACAGCCCTTCTGGTGTTCAGCTCGTATGTACCAAAAAATAAATGGGTCACAACTGTATGATCCAAAGTAAACTCAGAATGGTCTGAGGAAGTGCTGGCAAGTGTTCCAACTGCTAGAAGAACCTGTTATGCACTGTGGAGGTGAACAGTAAGTGGTAATGGCTAGAAAATACTATAGTTAAACTAACATATTAGGAAAAAATAGAATGGTAGCTGTGATAGTGAGCTTTTTTTAGGGAAGGGGGGAAGAGGTGGCAACTGGAGCAGCGCCGGTGAAGAGAGACAGAAGCTGGTGGATACGAACAGCCAGATCTGCTGCCAAATCTGTGATGTGGCTGTTTCACGGGCAGTGCTGATGGGTGTATGGACTGGCCTGGAAGCAAAGATGTCCGCCAAGGAAATAAAACACCTGCTGAATAGCAAAGGGGAGACTGCCCAGCCAGGTGGCAAAGGGAAAGTGAATGGGGCTGTGCAGCATGAGAAGAAAGACAGGAGCAAAGCCAAGAGGCAGAACATGTCGTCAGTGTTCTCCACTCGAGGTCTGGCACTAACCCACATTTTGCACAAGAAGCACAGGGTATACTTAATGCTGTTGTGACCTGCAACTATTTGCTTCTGCAGATAATAGTTGCAAACATTGCAAATACTACTAAAGAGGACTGAAAAGTAGATTATAAAAATCCATTTTATTTTTGCTATCTCTGCTGCTTATTTGCCCCCTTCCCCTTTAAAGTCCACTCAGCCTGGAAACAGAAATTAAGCTGGTTACTTTGGTTTTTATTTCTAGATTGCTTTCTTTCCTTTCTCTTCCATTTTTTCATTACTCATTGTCTAGGGACATTTCTTAGCATTACAGGGAACTCAACATATTAATTTTTTTAAGCATTTATCAGCTTTCTGTGGTTCTGTGTATAATTTTCTGTATTCTTTCCCAATCCACAGACTCACATGCAAGTAATTAATGTTTCAGTGAATATCAAGCTTCTATTCATAGCTGTATTGACAGAACAGTTTTCAAAGATCTCCAGGCCTATGAGTGACCTTATGCTTATGACAAATGTTCTGCAACTCAGTTTTCCCTTCCAGCTTTACAGAACATTATGACAACACTTATGCACTTAGTGGGAACGTTATTTGAAAGGTCAAGTTGCTTTTGACTGACATATGTAGAAGTCTATTAATGTTTTAAAACCTTTTAGTGTAAGATAAGAAGCTTTCCAGTCAGATGGGTTGTCTCATCATCTGTGACTTGTTACTGTCAGAGTCACAGCTGCAAGGTAGTCATGACAGGAGTTTAATCTACCTTGGTTCTGGGGGAGATTTTGTAGACATATAACAAGGGAAAACCTGGAAAAATAAACTGAACAAAGGTTTCATCATATACTTTTCCATAAACATTAAACAAACCAATTGGTTGTTCAGGCAGAATAGGCAATTCTCTGCATTGCATCCCTGGCAAATCTTGAGAGGTCAGTTATCCACTGCCACATCTCCAGGGTACTCTGCCAAGTTAATTTTTCAATCTCCCTGAGATTATGAGGATGTTCTCAATATCAAGAGCTTAGTTAGGGGAGGTGGGGGCGACCTAGAAAGATGCAGTGAGATAGATCAGCTGGTATGGATGAGGTAGATGAAAACTCTATTAATGAGTACTAGTAAGAAAATGGCAAATATGGCTACAGCTATGGACACAGTATTACTGCACTCCATGTTTGTGCTCTGCTTCCTTCATAACTGGGAGAGGTCAAGAGCTTCTTCCCTTGGAAGAACAGCATTTCACACATGGAGATCTAATGTGTTTCCTGCAGTGTGTGATCTGCATTCTGGCCAAGATACACAGCTCATGGTTCAAAGTTCTGTTTCCCACTTCAGAGGAGTCCATTTTCATATGTACTTACATTTGCTGCTGTTTTAGCAATAGACAGTGACAAGTGTTTTACAGAAGCAGCTCTAAACACAGGTTAATATTCTGTCCCAAGAGAGAGCCTTCAAGTGTTGCTAAGAAGTTTTAACCTCGTAAAAGGTGTAAATGCTGCAAGAAAGAAAGTTAGCAGAAGCTGCTGCCAATTCTTTTGCCATTTAATATAAATGGAATTGTAGCAGCTGGTGTGATCACGTTCTGCTTGTGCTTGTTTCCCAGGTACAATGACTGCTGTGTCAAATAGCACATGCAGAACTAGAACTTGCTTATTTGTTCAGTGTCTGAAATTCTGCTAGACACATTTTTGTAGCTTATCTTACTAAATAATCCTAGGAGCTTGATGTGCTAAATGCAAGGAACACAGCAGCAATTAGGAAGAAATTCATTTAAAGTTGATAGGTCATGCTGATTATGTTCAGAATGACTTTAATGCTGTAGATAATATCCCAAGCGAATTATCATTTGCCCTTTCTCTTACCTGTTATAGCTTGGAAAACATTCAGTGAAGTCTTCCGAAGCAAGTAAAGCACAAGCTTTTATCTTTGAACTTACTCAGATACACACGTCTGAGTAAGTTCAAACATAAGTTTAACCCACAAAAAGTTTGCTTAACCCACAACAGCCATTCACATTGCCACTGTGGAGTCAGTCCAATCCTCCACTAAAGTTTTGTCCCAGAGTAAACCATGCAGTGTCAATGGCAGGGAGAAGAAATATGCTGCAAAACTCACTTCAGTTTACTGCTAGACACTACTGAAAATGTCTTTCTATGAAAGACTCTGTAAAAAAGCACTGTTACTAGCAAGCCTTTGCTTGGATTTCTGATCAAGACAAGATAGTGCTGTGCAGTACAGCTGCTATTGAACTTGTTCAAATCAACAGTATATATATGCATCAAAGAAGAAGGAGGACTTGCCTTCTCTGTTGTGGCAGGACATGTGGTTGTCGAAGATTCACCACACATAGCTGATACACCTTTTCTTGGGCTTATGCTTTCCTTGCAGAAGACAAGCTGGAGCAACAGCATTCTCTGTTTACACACTACAAAGATCCATGCCGAATTGGTCCTGGGGAGGATAAACCATGGGCAATCGGTAAGACCTTCTCCAACCATGCGTGTATGAACATTTCTTTGAATCACTCATACAACACTGGTAAGCAGCAGAGATTTCAGCTAATTGGAAGTAAGAATTTGGTGGAGATGAAATATTTATAAGGGTTTTTTCTGTAACATGTATATAAGCCTGAACGGTTCAGTCTTGCTGAGCTATAATTAAGAACCAGAGATCTCAAACTTCAGTCCACATTCTGGAACTTAAGCATCAAACTCCTTGAATGACTTCCCACACCTATTCTACTTAAAAAATAACCTCTGGATTACTTGGGGAGGAGCCAAATTATTGTTTCTGTGCTTTCTGCATGCAGTGAAAGCCTGCAGCTTTTGATCACAATGTTCCATTTGGTGTTCTATAAATACTGTAAGCGAGGATGGAACAACGCAGCTCAACAACACCATGAACTGGTAGGATTCATCTTATAAAAGGTTTTATGGAACTGTAAGCTATTTGTACCTAGTGCAACTCACTTAAACTCAGAAAAACTTTAGTTCCGCAGTTAGTCTTTTTCTAGAGTAGCAGTTGTAACTGTGAAGAGACTAAAGGTAAGAATGTGGAATTGTTTAATAACATGGTTTTACACTGTTGTAGCAGGAAAAAAAAAAAAACAAAAAAAAACAAACAAACAAACAAAAAAAAAACCAAAAAAATCAGACACTGGGGCTGAAAAACTGTCCCGTTGCTGGAAGGGCACAGGCAATGTTTTGGAAGGTGGCAGGCATTACGGAAGTCTGGACAGAGCTGCAGTGAACACAGTGTGCTTTCAGTGCAGTCCCTTTTCCCCCTACAGATGCTGTCTTCACACACCTCTGCCCTCAAAAGCTTTCCAAGGCAGGTCATAGGAGGAGTGCTGGGACAGTCACATCTCCCTTTCTCTTCACAGGTACCTTGCTGGATCCTGAAGGATTGTATGATGATGAAGTGTGCACTCCAGATAACCTACAGAAGTATGCAATTCCTAATTCTCCCACATGCTTTAGACAATTCCTTCAAAAGCCAGTTTATTGCTTGCTATTTAACATTTAAAAAACTGAGGGGTGTTTTATGGACTGTAAAAAATCCAAACCAAGAAAACACCACCAAAACCCAACAAACCAATCAGTCTTTTACTCAGGGATACTTGAGGAAGAAGATGAAAAGGGAAGGAAAAGGAGCTGCTTCTCTAAGTCTTAACAGAATTGGCTTCAGTGGGTGAGAAGATGAGAGCGACTAGTCAGTGGTGGTTTATTTCTCTAGAGTTAGTCTTGCCTGGACAGCCCTATAGGACAGGAAACCGAGCACTGCCAAAAAGGGTACACAAACAGCTTGTCTGGAAGTGCTTTTGCAGGCAGCCAGCTCTGTGGTCACAGCCCTGTAAAGTACAGCAACTAAAGGAATGTCAAATTAAATAGCACATCAGCCACAGCTTAATATCTCAGTGATACTAGTGCAGCATTACTACTTCTAAGGAATATCTGATATTGAGAAAGAGGTTATCTTTGGTTTGAGTTAGCAGACTTATGAAAAATGCAAAAAATGTTAGGTTTCTTGAATACTGTGCTGTTTGTCAAATAATATGCTAGTGGAGAGAAATTAATAGGCTTTTTACATTTCAGAGCAGCACTTGATTTCACTAATGTGATGATCCTTTCTGCACCTTTTCTACCTTGAGGGCTAGTTTAATGGACTATGTTATTTGACTAACTAACTATAAAAGATGCTGTAGCTGTTCATTACCCAAATATCCTAAAGATGTAAAGTTATTTGAATTAACACATCTGTGCAGATGCTTCAGTTAACACACACAATGGAAACGGAACATTATATAAGCACAGTTTCTGTTGACATTTTTACTCACGAAGTACAGAACACGGCATGGTACAGATGGACATCAGTTGAATGTATTTCGGTGAAGCTACCCTTTGAAGTTATCTTTATCAGTTTTGAACAAAGAAACTGAATTCCAGACATAAGGTCTGGGCTTAGTTGATCTTCAAATAAATAAACATTTGTTACAGTAAGTCACTGTAATGCTTTGTGCATTAAGGAGCCTGCAAAATTTCCAGGCATTTCTATTCACGTGTTGAAGACATGAATTTGGTACATATGAAAGGGATTTCTGGAAAGCAAAAGTAAAGTAATTTGGCCCCACAATCAATTGCAAATGCAAATCTGTATGTGGTGTAACATTCTATTTTATGGTTCCAGGAGGAGGCTTGGAACATTAAAAAAAAATTAAAAAATAAATTAAAAAAAACAAAAACCAAACAAAAAACAAAACCACACAACAAAAACCAAACAAAAAAAATATAAAAAAAACAAGCCTAAGACCCCTGTGTTATCAGGCAGCCTTTTGAGGCAATCTGTCACCAATTACTTCCAGGGCATTTTGTTTTATTTCCTGTAGAGTTCCTTGTGTTTGGCAATTAAGTTCCAATGACAAATAAATGACTGATAAATAAAAGTCATCAAATGATCAACAAAGATTTAAGAGTATTACTGCCACTAGCTATGTGTGGGTACAGCACTTCAGAAAGATGTAACTGGAAAATATTTCTGAGTGCTGGCAACAGAATATCCATTATACCTTTTGCTGCTCAGTGTGGCTTTGTTTTCTGTGCAACATTATAATTCTCTTAGACCCCACTTTCCACTAGCTTTTTATGCAGATGTGCAGAGAGCATGGATCTGCATGTGTACCTTATGTAGATGTACTTAAACAGGAGCCTGTCCTCTCACCTCTGCAAGAGACTGGTAAACATAAGAAATGCTGATAAATTCAATAAAATTTGAAGCCATTCATGAAATTTGAGCTTTAAAGATGCTTAAATGCTAAATAGCACAGAAGCTCTGGAGCTTTCTGTATCTACCAAGCATCATTGATCTACATGGCAAAACAGGGTACAGCCTAAAACTGATCTCAAATTTTTCAAAATAAACCTTGATCAAGCTTTACAGACTGTTAAAATAGGCATTTAAACTGGCAGCGTAACCTATCTACAGAATTAGTTCTTCATCAGCATTCTTCTCTAGTTTATAAATAAAATTAAGTACTTCACATCACTAAACTAATCAGGCCATAAAAGCAGCAGAAAAACTATTTCCTAGGTATCTCTTTCATGTTAAGTACAGCATGCATACAATATTGGACTAGAAGGACATACTTGTTACAAAAAATGAGCCAGTCACAATTGTGGAACAATAATTGTATGTGGCTGTAATTATTACAATTAATAAGCTAGCTGTCACAGTCTGGGCCCTGCCCCAGTGCTGGAAGCTACACAAGATTCTGCTCAGCAAGGCTTCACAAAAGGCACACAAATAATCTCATCTCACACAGATCATTGTCACTTTTGAGCAGAGCACTGGAGTAGGGCACTCCAAACCCTGACTGGAGTCTGGCACAAGAGAGCACAGCTAAAAAATAAGATTTAAATGCTAGTTTTTCCAGGCTTCACTGCTAGACAGGGCTCAAAGTTCTGGGTGACAGGCTGCAGCACCAGTAACAGAAGTCCTCCTTAACTCAGGTGCTTCATGTCTGAATGACGGATGGCCCCTGAAGCTTTTTAATGAGGGATTGAGTTTTGCTTTATAGCTCCCTTACATACACTGCTCTTCACACTTTTCCTGTGTTCACTGCAGCTACAGGCAGCACTACCAACCAGCTAGTGGCCAGAGAGCTGCCTGACAGAATATTCATACTTAAACTCTGGAGTTACTTGCGGCTGAAAGTCTTTCAAGAAAAAAATGAAGTTCCAATTACTTTCTATCCTCCCTTTCTTTGTGTCAATGCATTAAGCCAATTACTCTGACAAAATTCAGGTTTAGTTGGGCAGCTCACATGTAATTAGTTAAGTTCACTTAAGTTGTTATTATGTTACTGTTGGCAGGGCACAGCCAGATGTCCAGTACTGGTGTCTGCATCCTGCAGAGACAAACAGCAAACAACTGGATATGAAGTTTTAGGCAGAAGCAGATGCATGCACGTTTACAATTTGTTTTCCTCATGTATTTACAAGTAACATTTCCCTTCTGTGAACAGTTATGCAGGTTGAGTGAATACCCAGTGTTTGCAGACTTTTGAAAGGATATAATTGAAGTTAAACAAATTCATCTTCTAAATTAATGCAAATAATTTTTTTTGCCAGTAGCACTGCAGTGCTAGTCAGCAGTTTCTTCTACTTTGTTACTTAATTAGCTTTGCCAAATATAAATACAACTTTTGAAAGAAGTCAGTCCCATCAAAGAGCTTGCTTTCCTGAACCTAGAAGAAGAATTCCAGGAAGTGAATCATTTGCAGTAGCTCTTTGTAGGATCAGTTTGCAAATGGGGAGCAGACAGCAAACTAATTTGAGTTACTATGTGACAGGCTAAAATGAAATAATACATAAAAGAAAGCTTGCTTTCTTAAGCTGGTTACAATAAACTCCAAGAACCTTCAGTACCTCACCAAGTCCAAAGTGGGTTAAGAAAAGTTCCGGCTAAATAATTATGTGACCAGAATTTTGTTACTGTTCTCTTTTGAAGACACATAAAATACTTCTTGTATGTCTCAACTGACCTAGATATACAGATTATAATACTACTGAGACCTAATCAACTGCAGGAAGTGCTGTGCCCCCTCTGCCACCTTTAAGATCCTTCCAAAGAGACAAAATTTGACAAAGAAACCATTTACTTCTCAACCATTAAAACACATCACAAGATTCAGGTATTTGTCTCTTGTTTTTCCTTCATTCCGTACTTTCACATGCATGCATTAAAAAACTCCTAAATCCAACACCATAAAACCCATCCAAAGTCAAGTTTTAAAAAACAGGTGATCAAAAATATCTTATTTTTTCCCAAGGTGAAATTAAAGGCTTTATACCTGCTAGGACCCAAGTTCATGGCTCAGTGTTTTTTGTTAGACAGTTGATGATGTAGCTTAATGGCATAATCAACTCTTACAAGGGAAACTACAGAACCTTGAGCTCAGGCTTTGGCAGGTAAGTAAAGGAAAATGATTTTCAAGGAGGTGGTTTTCAAAGTAGTTTGTTTACATTTTGAGTCAGATAGTAAAACCACAGCCTAACGTATCGCTCTCTGCATGCACAGTTATTCCTCAAACCAGCTGCAACTGTATGTAATCTTAATTGTCTGCACAATACCCTACACAGGCAATTACCATGTGGACCTCCTGCTTTTGCAGGCACAATTGTTTCTGTTGTTGGCAGATCTTTTAAATAGAACACAAGAAGGTAAACCAAGTTTCCTTTTAAACCCAAGACAACAGCAAAACAGTACAGAACAGCACAGCAACATCTAATTACTGTAAAATACAGTGACAGGGACCATTATGGTAGCATGTTCACAGGAGGGCTAACTTCAAAAATTAGATCAAGTTGCTCATGGCTTCAGTAGACTTCTGTATAAAATACACTGCTAAGGTTTAAGCACCCAAAATAAGAATTTTAATGGGAAAGCTGCAGCTTATTTGACAGAACACAGGACTGGTACCTAGAAACTGATTCTTAATTTTGAGTTGTTTTTGGCTGGATCAATCTCCTTGCAAGATGGAGGCAGGACTAACACACCCACTGAGTAAGTCCATCTCTGTAGAAGACTTTGGAGAGTGTCATATACAGGAATCAAATAAATTGCGCTGCCATTACTACTGAGGTAAGAACTTGGGGTCAAAGACACTGTAATCTGATGCTGAGGGTTGCTCAAAACCAGCTACCACCTACCCAGGTGTGTGCTCCAGAAACCATTCCTCATTCATATCCTGTCTGTAGAACGGTTGTCGGAACCCCAGAGCGAGCTGCTCTGATCAAAATGGAGAGGTTTGTATTGAAGTACACAAGTCTGTTCTGAAGTAACCCATGAAACAATTTCCTCCTCTGCTAGACTCAGCAATGCTGGAAATCAACAGAGGGGCTGTGGGCTGCAATATACTATTGCAGGGGGTATAGTATATTGCAATACTATATTGCAATATACTATACAGGGTCCTTCTTGCAGGTGTCCGTGTTCCTAGCTACAAGGGTAGGTCCAGCAGTGCAGCACCAGTGATGCCAAACATGCCCTGAGGCTTTAAGAGCCCTGTCAGTGTTTGTTTAGCACAGCCTCATACTGGAAAACACACATGGAAGAGGATGTGCTCTACAAGTTTGACAGTCCTTTTGGACAGGCATTATCCTTAACGGGGATTTGGAGAGAATCTAGCACAGTGCATGAAGGGACAGAATGAACAAACATTTAGAGCACTTGTTTTGTTTTTTAATGAAACAGGGTGCTGGAAAGTGAAGAAGGAAGGAAAGGATACTTGGTCTACCCCACCAGCAAGAACCACAGTTCCAGTCAAAAGGGGAGGAAGGCATCACTGAAAGGGAATGGGAGGAGAATTGACTATATGCTGTATACAGAAGAAGGTCTCTACCTAGAATGGAAAGTGGTGAGTTTCAGAGCTGACAAAAAGAGCTGTAACTCACACAACAAACTTGTGTGGATGGTACAGCAGCCTGTTCTGCTTGGGTTCAAATTCATACTCCAAGGGGAACCTGCTGCTTTGCTATTTTCTACTTCTGCAAGCAAGTATGGAGTTTGTAAACCTATTATGTAAGGTTTTAAGCAAATTCAAGATGAGTAGCAGCACTGGTAGATATGCTGCTCCTCAACAACAAATAGTTCCAGTTCTTAAACTCTTGCCAGACTAAGTGTTTTGATGTTACCAACAGTCTGAATGATTTTTCCATCTTCTCAAGTATCTGGATATTCTTTTATTGTGCCTACGACAAACCCTCCTAAGTTACAAGCCTGTGATGCACAGGCGGATGTTGATGTGGGCTAATCAGAGTGGGATCTTGCACTGCACTGTCTGCTTCCTGGTGTAGGACCTTAGCTTATATAAAATTCCATGATAAAAAAGAGACACTAGTTCACACTTATCTACCATACCCTGCTGTAGCTGCTGCAGAAGAGCAGGCAATAGAGCAGTTCAGCGTAGCTTAGTGCACAGTACCTTGATCTGCCTGTGCTCTGGGTGCGCTCTGTGGACATGGCAGCTTAGCAGCTGGATCTTTTTCAGGCTTCCTGTTTCAGATGCACAAAAATGCCCATGGTGCATCTGTATGGTAAACCCATCTTAGATTTTGCACAAACAGCAACAAAGCCAATATTTGAATAATTCTGACTCAGATTAAGTCATTGATAAGGCTCATGCTGGCAGCATAACTAAAATATGTGTGCTTCCTGCAAGCAATTCCTAAAGTACTGGTTAAAGAAATACCTGGCTGGTGGAAGGGGTAAACTCCATTGCATCAGAAGAACGCTAGAGTGGCTCCATCCAGCTGCAGAAGCTGAGCAGCACACAGTATTTCCTACAGAACATCAACTTGGTCCTATGAAATGTTGCCAGAACAAAGTCTGGAATATGGAGACATGAGAAGCAGGGTTCCTCATCACCTTAAGTCCCCAGGAAGTTCAACACCTCAGTCTAGAAGACAGGCTTTCTTTTTAGCTGCATACCGTGGGTAGTGTGGTATAGCCAGCCGCTCTGTATGTACATGGATCACCAACTGCAGCACTGTAGATCAGTGTCTGCAACAGTGTAATGGAAAGAAAAGGTGCAAAAGATTCCACCCAGACTAGTTTAACTGGTATCATATAAATGGTTCACCTCATCAACTGCATCACACTGACACGCCCTGCGAGGCAAATAGTTTACCATGAGCTCAGCCAAGCTAGGCTGGTCCCACACATCTACTAATGCAGAAAGGTAGTTCGAAGTAAATTAAAGAGAAGCATAAACCCTGAGTCCAGTGTGTGCTATACCAGATCAGTTCCAATTCTTTTCTTTCTTTTGTTTTTCCTCTGCAGGAAGTGGAAGAGTTCAGCTTTATTACCCAGTTAGCAGGCTTGACAGACCACCTACCAGTAGCAATGCGTCTCATGGTTTCTACAGGAGAAGATGACCCTTAAAGCTAACTAGCTTTGAGAGATCAGAAGAGGGAAACATTAACAATATTAAGAAAATATCAGAATAAGAATGTTCTGGTGCCATGTTAGGGAAAATGACCAGACCTGACTTGGGCTAATTCTGAACATACCAACAAAGGCAGATATAAAAAGGGAAGAAATAGAGGGGTTGTGGCCAAAAGCCACTGTCACAAGTTGCTCAGGCAACAGGGCAAGCCTGTACTACAATGCTTTCACTGTGGACCGAACGGAACCAAGATGGAAGTCCTAATTCCTTCTGAACCAGTGCCATTCTTACTAAACATGTTTTTATACTAATATATAGCACAATTTAGTTTGTAATTAGTCTGTGAGTTAGTGCTGCTCTATGGTTTTTTGCATCATTTCTTTGTATAACTAATAAGCTAAAGCTTTGTTTCTTTTTTTAGCCTGTTTATAAAGTTGTAGCGTGCTTGCATCAGTAGCATGCGCCCGCACTGCATGCCACTCTGAGATAAAATAGTCAGTAAGATATCATGGGGAATATCAGAATGGAAGCAAGTTCAAAAATCAGATTACCAGCCAAAGCAAGGCATTCTGGGACTGGCAAACCCTTCTGTCCTTACAGATAGATCTTAAAGCAAATAAACAGAACCTGTATTCAGTTTGCAGACCAGTATCTTCCTGTCTATTTAAGGATACTTCTAAGATTTGCAATTAAGACTTTAAGAACACAGTTCTACCCTTACTCCAGCTGTGTTCCCACTGAAATTATGAAGTATTGTGTCTGAATAATGACTCCAGAATTGGGCCTTTAGCTTTCTAGGTGCAAGTTATTTCCTTAAGAAGAAATACAGTTCCCCTGTAATGTTTTTTCTTTCTTTCCATATGTGGGACAGTTCTGAATTATGGTATGGGATGATATGTATGTTACAGTAGCGTGAATAGATTCCTGTAGTACTGTTGGTAACACCAGAGCCAACCTTCTGCCTTAGTTAGGGTAAGTGGGAAATAGCTTGTAAAATGCATGCTAGATATAGAGTTAAAATTAACATTTTTTTTTGGAAAAATGTGGAAGAGTGTATGACTGATAAGGCAGGATAACCTAACAATTTTCCAAAGGAATCAATCAGTACACTTAAAAGGAAAATCTAGCAAAACTAACTAGAGAGTAGAGACCAGAACTGTGACTCTCAGCCTTAGGTAACTGCAGCCTAGAAACAGAGGGTTTGTTTCTGTCTTTGAGACACAGGTTTCCATGTGTTATGCACTCACAGGCTTTAACGAGGGTCTTTCCAGCTAATTTGTATGTATGTTCTTTCCCTGCAGCTGTTTAAATGTGGGGCTCCTCTCTGTCATCTTATCCCTATGACTTCACCTACCCAGCCTCTGTAACCTTAACAAAATAATGAAAAGTTGAGGATCAGGTCCATGCCAAGACTTGGTGTTTTCTTAGGGATTTAAATGCAGAAGGGTTTGTGTTGCTGGGAGAACCAGGGGACCCCTTGTATTTTCACTGATACTTAGTTTCTTCTGCCTGCTTCATGTTCGGTTTTAGCACTATTTCCTCGTACATTATAAATACCCAGTGTTAAAAAGAAAAGAGTTAATCTAATAGTTAGTTACCCTATTAAGTAAACTGCTTTAGTTATGCTGGCCACAAACTCCTGAAGATGCTCTTGTTTTGGTTTAGTTTGCACCTGCTAGGAATCAGCTTGAGCTAAATCAGAAGAAATTTAAATTAGAAATCCCAGTCTATGCAGCCTCTGGTACTGGCTTAATTAGCTGCAGTAAACAGTGAAACTTTCACTTAGGTCAGCCTGATTTTGCAAGTAGAGAAACAAAGCTTTAACAGTCACGAGAGTACTGGACTGACAGTACTGCCTAATCCCAAATAGACAGTAGGCCACTGTTCACACCTGGTCTTGACACGTTTTAACGCCTCATTTTCCAGTCCTGGCGCTCCTTCAGCAGAGACTGCCTCTAAACTGTGTACTGTGCCAAACCATGGGGGTAGTCTGCAAGTGTAACTATAGGGACTCCGAAATAGAACCAGACCTAATTCCCCTTTTTGATAAAATTAGGAATTCAAGTTTATAGCATCAGAGACTTGAGTGTACTATCCCAGTGCACCACCAACTTCCCACTTTGTATGTTCCTCTTTATACAGAGGGTGCACATATGTGCAATGTGTTTTTCTGGTTTCTTATCTCCTTACCCAATTCAGAAAAAATTGTACCTGAAACCTATTAACCCTATTTTCTATCTTGCTTGTATTTTATTAACCTTTTTTAAAAAAACAGATGGTATCAGTAGCAATTTGTGTGCTGTACAGCAGCTATTTCTCAGTAGTAAAATTAAATATAAGGTATTTTTAGTAGCTTTCCTATCAATGTAAATTACAATTTAATATCCACTTCTCTAAGGATCAATTGCAGGAGCTGAATTTGACACTCTGTGGGATATAATCCTAAAACTACTGCCGAACAATGTTACATTATTTACAGTAAACCAAGATGGTCTAAATTACTTTAAAACTCAGTTCTGTGGCTTTGTGCTGACTAAAAACCAGGCATTTTTTTGTCAACTTTCTGAGATATGTTGGGAAATATTTTTTTCAAATTTAAAGTAAAGTGGTTTAGATTTTGATGTTCTTATTTTCTCAGTGATCATGAAATGGATAGTGGTAAAATGTTCTCTCAACATAATAAGCATACATTTAATCAGTCTAGGTAGTTCTTACTAATTTACTCTCTTAAGGATCACCCTTGCAAGAGCATGCTGGGAGGTACAGCATTGTGGCACCGCTGTACAGATGCTCCTTGCTTTTGTGCATCAGTCCTGTGCCTTCCTATGCCTTGGTATGCTTGCAGGAGTCAGAGAGCGTATGTACTGCTAAACTGTAATGAACAGGTTTTCCTTTCCAGGGGAGCAGCCTCCTGGAGAAAAGCGAGTATACACCACTGCTACCAGTTCCATAGATTGACTGGCAGAAAATAATTCAGACAATGCCTGTACCAGCAGGTTATCAATCATTAAAAGCCTTATACAGATACTATGTAATAGAATATTTGCATTAAAAAAAAAAAAGGGGGGGGTGACTATCAAGGAGAACATGCCCAGGAAATCAAACTCCAGATAGCTTCTTCAGATGTCAGTCCCAACTTGCTTAAGGATAGCATGGCCCAATTTATTAGTAGGATGTTATTTATTAGAAGATTGAGTTAGGCTTATTCAACTATGCTGCCCCACTTTGTACAGGAATTTCAGCTATCTTCAAGAAGAAGTTGGTGATAACACTATTCTTGGTTTAATAGCTGCCACTCAACAGGGATACTATAGATGAAGTGCCATCTGTTTTTATAGAAGTTAGGTAATATCTCTCATTTCTCATTTTTCCATTTGCATTTTACAAAAGCACTGCTAGAACAAGTGAACAGAATACACAAGGACAGCCAAAACCTAAGAACTCTCAGGCGTTTTAAGGATGTCAAGTCCTTACGAAGTCAGTACCTTTCAGTCACTTCAAAAACACAGTCTACAGAATGTAGCCTCTTGTGCACATCCAGATTCAGTTAATCTGTGCACTATTTGAGAGACACATGATCCACCCACTTTGCAGCCACTGAGGACCAGCAGTAGTGCCTAGTGTACTAAATCTCTACAACCAATTCAAGTGGTGGCCAGCTTAGTTTTATTCCATCACAAACTGGATGCTTAATCACAGCTGTCTAAAGCAACTGAACTGTGCCATGGACTGGCTCCAACCTGCAGCATGTTGTAGGGAAACCCCAGAGAAAGCTGCCTGGTGTAATGAGTTTACCTGTCTTGTGCTAGTAGTATGACACAGTTTTGTCCAGGAAGCACTCTCAGCCAGTCTGGCTAGACCCTCAGTCCTATTTGATGGGTAAGATAGTAAGGAATTTACAATTCTGGTAAGATTATTTTGTTGATGGTTTCTTGTTTTGTGTTTTTTTGTTGGTTTTGTTTTTTTTTTTTAATGGCCTTTCTTTGGTATTCCCAAATAAGCCAATTAGCTGTCCCCAGCTAATTGGTCTTCAGTCTACCCTGGGATCACATAGCAGCACATGTATGCCAGCACATATCATCAACTCAGAAATGAAGCATTTTTACCTCCTGATGCTACAGGAGTAAAACAGAAATACAGTTCTAGCACTCTGACAGACTCCCAGTTTTATCATCTGTTGCAATGAGAGTCAAATTGTTACTGAAGGTCTCATTTTTCCATGCCATTCTGTTTTAAATATAATCTTGATGCTTTTAAAGACTTGTATTATTGCTGAAGTTTAGAAATCCTATATTATGAATAACCTTTTTTTATTTGAATGATTTTTCAGTATTGTATCCTTCTGGAACCTAATGTTTTTATATGGTAAGCACACACCTTCTGACATTTTGTTATAAATGTATTAAAAGAAAAAATTAAATATTTTCATTGTTTTCTTCACCTGCAAGAAAACCACAATCTCAGACCTGATAAAAGCAAGGTATTTTGAACAATAGAGTGGGGATTTTGTCTTTTATTGGTGCTGAAAGGAGTAACTGGTTGATGCAAACAAGATAATAAAATTTCAATAGTTGAATGATTCCGTGCAGTCCACTTTTTCCTGGTTTGTGATGTGGAGTCTGACGTCACTCACAGAAATCTGACTCTAAGAGTACAGTCTCCCTGTGCTATGCTGTTGTAGTTAATCTGCAGAAAATAAAGGCTGAAAGAAACGAATGCTCTTAACATCCTCCACAGCTCAACATCCAACCTCACAGATGCACCCTGCTAAGTGTTTCAGACAGGCACTGCCCACTGTAGGCTGCAAACCTGAATCCCCATGGACAAGGATATCCATTCTGCACTGCATTCTGCTGGTATTTAGTATAAGATCAATTCACGTGAACAATTTCTTCTTATGCAGCCTTGACATCTCAACAGTTATCTAGTCCATGAACTAATGAGAGCATGTTTTTATCTTTGGCTGGATGGTATAATTAAAAAACAAACACAGTCTCTGTTCATTTATCCTTAAGAAATCCAGCGATACAACAAAACAATGTCAAAGGAAAGAAATCTATTCTACTGGTTCAGTCTTTCTGAACAGTCCTCAGAGTCCTTTATAAAAGCTTGTAGGGAGCCCACCTTGAAGAATTTATTTTCTCCACAAGCAGAAAGGAGGGTATCAGTGCAGTGACAGAGTACAAGTGACAGAGCACAGCACACAAGTTTCTTGCCATTACCTCAGGAAGGAACCACTTTGGAGATAGGATGTTAGAGGTGGATCTCTGCAGCCGTCTCCACTGCTGTACAGACAATTTTTGTCTGCGTTCTGATGCTACCACAGCATTACCCTTCCACAGGCTTAATTTTGCAGCAGTAGATTCCTAGCATGTGCTTCTCATGCAATACCTGACTGGTTTTCCTTGTTGCATTTTGCATTATTGCATGAGAGCTCGTGAGTGGGTTTCCCTCTATGAAGTGCTATAGGTCCATCATCATGGCTTGACTTCGCCAACAAAGATTTGGGAAGGGCTTTACCCACACTTACTACATGCACGCCGATGACTGAAAAGGCCAATGTGAGATAGGCAAATCCGGCTGCAAAAAGCACAGCGAAAGGTCTCCTTGGGTGGTATAGGCGGGGTGCAATTCTTTCTACGTTGTCTTTTCTCCTCAAGACTAGTTCTGCATGAGGTCTCAAAGGAGTCAATGGCATTATGTATGGTGTGTTTTCAAGTCTCCCGATTGGAGGCCAAGGTGGACCCCTGATGGTAGTCAATGTGGCCAAGGCTAAGGTATTGTTTCAGGGAGTCCTTACATCTCTTCTTTGGGGCACTTCTCTTGTGGCTACCGGTGGCAAGTTCACCATAAAACATGATCTTAGGGAAGCAGTGATCCTTCATCCTAGACGTGCCCTGCCCAGCGCAGCTGCAATTTCACCAATATGGCCTTGATACTGGTGACCCCTGCCTGTTCGAGAACAGTAACATTTGACACATAGTCAGCCCAGTGGATGTTTAGAATTGTATGGAGGCAGTGCTCATGAAAGCGTTCAAGGAGTCGAAGGTGATGGCGGTAGATGACCCATGATTCAGACCCATATAAAAGAGTAGACAGCACAATGGCTCTATAGACACTGATCTTTGTGCTTTTCTTCAGGTGTTTATTACACCAGACTCTTCTATGGAGTTCTCCGAAGGCTCTATATGCCTTTGCTGTTCTGTTGTCTATCTGTCGATTGTGGCATCCGAGGAAATACTGCTTCCCAGATTGCTGAACTGCTGAAATGACTTAAGCTCTGACTCGCCAATGGTAATGTGGGGATGATGGTAATCTTCTTGTGGTGCAGGTTGGTAGAGAACTACTGTCTTCTTCAAGCTGACTTCCAGCCCAAAAAGCTCAACCACCTCTGCAAAGCAAGATGTTAAACGCTGCAGAGCTGCTTCTGTGTGGACAACAAGGGTGGCATCATCAGCAAAAAGCAGTTCACAGACAAGATGATTTAGGGTCTTAGTGTGGGCCTTCAGTCACCTTAGGTTGGATAGGCTACCATCAGTACGATATCGAATATAGATGCCGTTTTGTTCGTCGAGGTCTACTGTGGCCCTCTGGAGCATCATGCTGAAGAAGATTGTGAATAAAGTTGGTGTGAGAATGCAACCTTGTTTCACACCATTGGTCATTGGGAAGGGCTCAGAGAGTGCATCGCCATATCTGACTTGGCCTTGCTGATCCTCATGTAACAGAATAATCATTTTGAGGAACTTGGGGGGACAACCTAATCATTCCAAGATCAGCCACAGGTCTTTTCTGCTCGCAGTGTCAAAAGCTTTGATGAGGTCAACGAAAGTTACATAGAGCCCCTTATTCTGTTCTCTACACTTTCCTTGAAGTTGTCTGAGA